AACCCAACCCTGCAAATGACGACCTGGCCAGTAAACTTCATATGAGGCAAAAACATTTTCGGTAGCTTCACCCTGATATAACCACCCACGGCATGCCTTAAAGCCTGATCCACCATTCCTGGTTCTCTCCTTGCTTACTAAAGGTCTTGCTTCTCTTTTAGATTTGCGAGCACATACGTGCCACGTGTGTGGCAAGTCATTTACTCAATGCGGTGTGTTGAAGAAACATGTCGACCGTGTCCACAAAAGTACGCGCTATTTTCCCTCACTGGTTCAGATTTTTTTTCGGTATTTTCCAATGAAATGTCGCGGTGTTTTATTTTCTTTTCTGAGAAAATGTCCGTTTTGAGATTGAATGGTAAGTTTGGCAAACCATTTGCGTGGTCGAGCAGCCAGTGGTGCGAAGCTACCTTCTGAGAGATTACGACTGAACGCCTCTAAGTCTGAATTCCGTCCAGAGATGCGCAACGATAGAGTTCGGCCTGTCAAGTGGTAAGGGAGATAGAGAACTGCCCCGTCAGGTTTTATTCAGATGGGGCCGGCGTGCCTCACTAAACATGGTTGGTCCGGTAATGTTATGCCAGAGCTGTGACCATAATCACATCCACCACCCTGTCATGTTCCAACCTCCATGCGGTACTGGTTCCACTGGACACCGATTTCCAAGACGACGTCTACGAATGGAACTTAAAGGATCAAACCTCAACAACCTGCAAGAAGTGCGCCGAAATAGGACCGTAAGCTTTTAGGAGTCGGTAGCCGAAGCGCCAGCAGCGGCCTCTCGAAGCTGGCTGGTGGCCTAGAAAGCGTCTGAAGTTTTCAGTAGACGTAGAAATGAATCCAGGACCCAGGTGGCCTCGTCCCTGCTGTGGGAAGTCAGCACACAAAGAAAGTGTCCAGTTCGACATTTGTGGAGCCAGGGAGCATCTAAAATGCTTAATGATGACGGTAGAGCCGGCCACATCCGCCAAGGAGAATCATGAGCTCCAATGCCACGGGTGCCGCGCACAGACGTCGACCCCCACCGGAACACCCAAGGGGTACGAGTGGCCCTGCTCGTACTACTACGAGTTCTGGCTATATCCGTGGGACATGATCCGGACTCTTGCTCGGCCCCGCAGTGTTGCCCGCTCACTCGCTTCAGCCAATTGCAGGGGCCTCAGTGTCCTCCTCATCCCTCCAAGCCGCATCCGCCAGCCTTAACTGAAAATACTGCTGCAACTGTGAGGCGACTATAGCGGGTAACCTCATTTCATTACAATGTGCTGACTGTTCTGCTTGCTGCCATAAATTGTGCTCTGGTATGATCCGTTGGAAACTCAAACAAGTATCAAATGGACATGGAGAATGGAGGTGTGCCGAACATGTTGGACCATCAAATCTTAATCCTGCTAAGCAGAAAGTAGCCCGACAAGAAAGATGCAGCAAATGCGACAACCTGATACACTCTCGAAACCAAAGATACCGATGTGAGAGATGCCTGAAAGTGTCCGACCGCAAATGCTGGGCACTGGAGAAACCCGCCTGGGAGAGTGCTTTGAAAGAAACCGGGCAGTGCCACGCCTGCCTTGTGGAACTCAACTCTGACCAACAGGTGACTACTGATAAAAGGATAAAGGATCCTAGCTATCTACGCATCTTGCAATGGAACTGCGACGGCCTGATGCCCAAAGAAACACTGAGGATCAGCTAATTCGACCATCTCAGTCGGTATCAGATGGACTCCATAGTAAACCATGCAGAAAAACAGCTTTGGCCCTCATCAATTTCGAAAAAGCCTACGACGCCGTGTGGAGAACCGGTCTAGCGCTGAAGATGGCTAAAATGAAGGTTCCCAATTGCCTACCGATTTGGATCGAGAACTGGTTGAACAACCGCCTAATGCATGTGCGATACAACGGATGCCTCAGTAGGGAGTTCAGACTTATAAAGGGCCTCCCACAAGGAGCATTTATCCTCTCCCCTCTTTCTTGGCATCTTTATAAACGATCTTGGAGATGACGTCGGAAAGGACGTTGAGATAAGCCTTTCCGCGGACGATGCTGCGGTATGGAGCCAAGATACCAACCCTGAGTGGGCTTAAGATCGAGTGCAGATCGCGGCAGAAATGATGGTCCAGAGGAGCCGAAAGTGGAAGATGCAAGTGAACGTCCAGAAGACGGAGGTAGTGGTGTTCAGTACGATCCCGAGTGAAAGAAAAGGAGGTTGGATCAGATCACAATAATTCTGTAAAATAAAAACGTAACAAGGGTAAGTTGGGACGCGTACTCAAACCTCTGGCGAGGACACTGAAGAACGCTTTTCTATCATCGCTAATCACTCAGTGGACCAACGGTGGGCACGTTTATGTAGGTGGAGTGTGCCCTGGCCTCGGGCGAGGTCATTGAGGTACATTTTGTATTAGTACCACCAACAGTTACTAGAATAAACACGAACGAGTGAGGAAGTTTAAAAGATTACCGAATTCACCCTACTGAAAAATTTGTAAGCAGGCGATTATTCTCGAAGCTAATGGATTGCGGATCATTGAAAGAGCGACGGCCAAATTCCTTGGTGGGGTGTATGATTCGGGACTCTTGGAAAAGGCGGATAACGAATTACTACGATGAGGGCTTTAGGTGGAACAACCTGGGGATGGCGTCCGGAGGACATCAAAAAAGTATACACTGCCTGTGTGTGACCGGTGATTGAGAGCGGACCAGCAGCGTGCATCTGCCGCTCGCGACTTGACAGGTTGGAACGCCTGAACCTGAAGGCAGCTCAAATTACCACGAGCCTCCAAATCTCATGTCCGAAGGAGATGGTGCTACTAGATGCTGAGATCCAGACGATAGAGGAGAGGGACAGGTTCGAGGCCATCAGGGCCTATGAACACAGCATGAGACTTCCCCCACAAAGCCTCCGCAGACAGATGGCTGAGAAGACACAGACAACCCGATTAAAGCGGACCTCATTCTGGAGAGAGAATGCTCTCACATGCCTGCGACAAAGGCTGGGAGAGAATTCTGGGATGCCTAGAGAACTTTTCGCTGTTAACAGTCTAACGACGTCCCAACATCACTATTCTAAGGAATTTTAAAGATCTGTTCAGCAAATCAGAAATGATACAAAACTGGCAACGAATGGAGGATACGCTCAACTCCCTGCCGGAAACGTCCCTGACTATTTGTACCGATGGGTCGGCAATGAATGGATGAG